TGATTTTCATCCTCACCGCCCATTCGTCAAGCTTTTCACGATGTTCAACTCCTCCAATTCGACGAGCCCTGAGATCACTCCCGATTTTATTCTCTTTAGCTTACTACATGATGTAAATTCTAGCTGTTTCAGACATCCTAGTCCCCACTCCTCAATAGAGGGACACAATTGGCAACCGAGAATTTCGAGATTTGATAATTCCCCAACAATAGAGATGGTCTTCAAAGACTTGCAATTAGAAAGAACCAATGTCCGGAGATATTTCAGCATCTGTATGCTTTGTGGTAGTGAGCTCAATGAAAAGCAACTAATTGACACCACATTTAACCTGCTCATCCCTTCAAAGAAACTCTTATCCATCTCGATTTTTTTTCTTTCCTACTTCTATTGACAAAACGAGACGAAGTTTTGGAAATTCCAACCCTCTAGGAGATTGAACTCTCTCGCTAACAACGAGGAAATCCAAGTACAGTTACTACTTGAATTTTCCCACAACAAATTGGCCGTGCCAATATTGCAATCGACGCGCCCTTCCTTTGATGCAATGTATATGGCAACTTCACGGACAATATCATGCCCTGCGACATAATTTTCACTATCACAATCTAGTTGCAGAAAACGAACGTAAATAACGAGAATAGAAATACGGAGAAAATAACAATACAAAACAGATAGTTGTAGAGAAAAAAATTGTGGGATCGCTTTGGGATGGAGTTTTTCTCATTAGTATAGGGGGTAACCACCGGGAAGTTACAAATGAAATTTCTGTTGAGATATATTTCTTTTATGCTCGTTATATCCCGAAGATTACAGTATTCCTGTTGAGGATTTGGTTTCTTACTGCATGGGTTTAGGCACTTTCGAACATATTGACGATTTGAGGGAAGTAAGAGAGCTAACATCCTTAATGCTTACAATGCTTCAAAATCGTTTTTTGCTATTAGATTGTGATTGAAAATTAAATTGATATGGAATGATGATATCCACATAAATAGTATAGTACTAATTGCCAATGAATTTTGATTATGGAAATTAGTGGAATGAATGACTACTTAATTAATTCAATGATTTGATCATTAATCGCATAATTGCATAAGCCAAAAACCAATATCGCATAAATAAACTACACACAACCAAAGAATTTTAAGTTAATGTCTGCATGTCTACACAAAACAACACAATATACTTGATACATTACATAGAAACCAAATATCATAATGTGAAATAGCAACTTACTTGTAAAAATCGTGAATTACGTTTTCAGAAATACGAGGCCTTAAGATGTTCTCACGGGATCTTATTCTCCTATATGAAGACGATAAAAAGAATTAAGAACATTAATTAAGTAACCAAAAGAAAATAACACAAAGTACAGCCTTCTATGACAACATGACGAACTCTCTAAAGCATTAGAAGAGTTCAATTCAATAAATTAACCATTAATAACCACATAATTGCATAAGCCAAAGACAAATATCTCCACCACCATATTTCTTCATCACATATAAATGCATGAGAATAGATTAAAATACTTCAGACAAAACAAAAAAATTAAGAACTTTTATAAGAAATTGGTGAAATTGTAAAAGAACGGTTTATTTTATAAGAAATTGGTGAAACTGTCAACGAACAGTTTATTTATACTTTGTTTCATTTTTCTTACGCGTTGTTAAGAATACTAAAATTTCTAAGGATAACTTGTAATATTAAAGGTACTGTGCATAAAAAGAAATGAAATGAAATTTCCAAAAATAATTAGATGAGGCATTTTTACCTGTCAATGTGTAGTGTAATTAATTCCTGATCTGAGACGAATGTATCTGCGTGCGTATAGTCCCCTCGATCGGCCAGCTAAAATCCTATTTTGGAGTGATATCGATCGCCAAGCCTAAGAGTTCTACAAAGACACATTCAAAGTTTTAATGAAACTAGAAGAAAGAAAATCAAGACAATATATATATATATATATATATATATAGATCTAGACATATATACGTATATGCATATGTATATGTCTGTGAGAGTATCTATCTCTCGATGTAGATCTCGCGGGTCTGAGCCTGCGCGAGCGTGCTGTCTATATCTGACTCGCGGTGTTGTGGGGTACATATGGGGGGGACAGATGGGAACGATGAGGGAGCAAGTTGGGACGGATATATATATATATATATATATATATAT